TAGACATTTATCACAAGTAATAGTCTTTCCAAAAACCATCACAAGTTTTCTCAAAGAAATTATCTAATATAGTGTCCGGTTTTGTGGGATTTATTTCCTTTATTTTGGTCACCGGACTCACAACACCTGACTCTATAAGTCGCGGCCACTTATAGGACGTGCCATCCATTGGTTTACTACAAAATTGATAATAAAATATTATTAAACACATTTTATAAAGTAAACCAAACTTATAAAGTTAATTATTTTACCCATTCTTAGCAAAGTTGGTCCACATTTGCATAACTGATTTACTGAAGTCAGTGTCCTTTGAATGGACCAAAACAGACATTCCGAACACTATCTCAATGTCGGCCGCGTGACAGACACCCATTTCCTGGGAACAGCCCATTAATGGACCCAATAGTGATGAGGGATGAGTCCACTCATAGAAGTATACATTATTTTTGGGCGAATTTTGGGCAAACTCTTTGGCGAACAGATATGTGGGACAAGTGATGGCTATGTCACCGAAGAACTCCCAAAAGGCATGTTTAGTGCCATTGGTTGAGTTGGCGACCACATCGGTCAAGTAAAATGCGGTGATTTTCTCAACATCCAGATCTGGGATGGTCACTGCTTTGACCAAACTCTTGAAGTCCTCTTTGGTTTTCAGGGAATCACTCTTTGGGTACTCCATGTGACCCAACATTGAGCCCTCGTTTCGCATAACACCAGCCATTATGTCGATGTCTTAAGGGATTGATTGAATAATTATTTATAAGATCTCTTGTAATGATTTGAATCTCGAAATAGTTAATAGAAAAGATAACTGGGAAAATAACTAAGTTTTTAATAGTACAAGACTACATATCTAATAAATTATTTGTATACTCATTTTCTAAGTGCAACTAAAAAAATAAATTTTGTCTAAAGTCTATTTTAAAAATTATTTCTTAAATTATTAATTTAAAAATATAGCAATGAAAACGTACCGGCGCTATAATTGTGTGTTATGAATGACTGTTGTGCATTCAATGGGAGGAATTGTGTGCCATAAATAGGAAAGATATCCAGGCCCTTATAGTCATTAACGGTCTTGGCGTCCACTTTCCTCAAGCAATCCAACCACAGCTTCCCATCCGTACAGTTCAATGATTTGGCCATTTGTTGCGCTTCTGTCAGCGCTTTCTCTTTAGACAAAACGCCGGCCTTTTTGTCCTGAAATATAGCGCCCGACTCCAGGATAGCCCTCTTGAATAGACCCCGAGATAGTGGCGACAATATGTGTGCCGATACGGACCAACTGCCGGCGCTCTCACCGAATATTGTGATCTGATTGGGATCACCGCCGAAGAGGTGAATGTTTTCCTTTGTCTAATAATTAGTAAATTGAAAAATAATTAGTTTTAAATTTATAAAATACACAAACTTTGCAAAACATACCCATTTCAGTGCCAACAGTTGGTCAAAAAAGCCCACATCTCCCGGTGCCGACTCTTCGCCGCCGTATAGGAAACCAAAGGCTCCTAACCTGTAGTTTGTGGTCACAATCACCACATCGTAAGAAGTAAGCAAAGCGCCGTCATATGTGGGCAGAGCTACGGAGCCACTCGTGAGGGAACCGCCGTATATCCAGAACATGACCGGCTTTAGGGCACCACCACTTGCGTTGGAACTATGAGGGGCCCACAGGTCCACAAACAGGCAGTCCTCGCTGATTTTCAGCAGTCCAGTGCCGTCGTGTTGCATACATGAGTCCTTATTGGCTGTACAGTCGATAACATCCTAACAAATAAATGATTTATTTATAAATGCTTTTTAAATATAAGTTTTAGTATTGGTTTTACCTTCGCTGGCGTTTCAATGGGCTTAGGCTTAGAGAATCTAAGGGCACCTAAGGGTGGCTGTGCGAAGGGTATGCCTAAAAACTGGTCCACAGTGTGGTTATACAATGTGATAACCTTCCCCCTCACCACACCTGAACTGGTCTTCACGTCAATGGTCGGGTCGTCGCAGACTATTGAGTGAAGACTTATTAAGACTAATAAAACTATTGCTCTCAACATATTTACACTAAACTGTAAAAAAGATATAATAAAAACTCTACGAAAAGCTATTTATTATATGAAATGTTTGTATGANGGTGTTGTGAGTCCGGTGACCAAAATAAAGGAAATAAATCCCACAAAACCGGACACTATATTAGATAATTTCTTTGAGAAAACTTGTGATGGTTTTTGGAAAGACTATTACTTGTGATAAATGTCTACTTTTTTGTTAAAATTATCGTAAATTAAATAGAAAATTAAATAAATGTCATTTCTAGCGCATACATGAATATCTTTATTTACTTAATAGGGTTTGTGGCTTAACTCTAATCAGTCTATTCACACAAATTCCGGTATAATTGAGTTAATTGGTTACGTGATGGTAACAAGAGTTATGCAAACAAATGAACGATAATTTAACGTAGAATTTACTAAAACTGATAATATATGCTTGATTATTGAGTGGATATAACAAATTCCGGTATAATTGAGTTAATTGGTTACGTGATGGTAACAAGAGTTATGCAAACAAATGAACGATAATTTAACGTAGAATTTACTAAAACTGATAATATATGCTTGATTATTGAGTGGATATACTAGTACTTTTAATCGATAGGTTAGCTAATAGATTCCTGTATTTTAAAAAAACTAAATTTCTATTATTCGGAGCATTAAATTAAATTGACAATTTTATAAAAATGCGTACATTTGAAAAATTAATGTTTAAAATTTATTAGGCCTTGTTTATATTTATTAATTATATACTGGTAAAAATTCAATTTATTTCAACAGTTATTGTACTCAATAATATAAAATGAAGGTTATCTAACACTGATTTAAGTGATAATTTACAAAGAGCACTTACTGGTATACCTGCACAACAATTACAAGTGCTACATGTTATATTATAAATACATGACAATTATATGCCTTTTTAAACGCTATTAATATAAAGTATAAAAAGTATTAACTCTTATCTATAGCTTTCATTCAATGAATAAAGGGGTTTAGAGTATTAGTTAGGAGTTATTACTAAGTCCTCATAAATCAAAAGTGAAATGTATTTTAAAATTTTAAAATTAGTTTCATTTTATTTATTAGTGAATAGTATTGTATTAGTACAAAGTGCTACCGTTGATGTGAGCACCAGTATCGGCGTAGTTAGGGGTCAGACTATTAATGTATTAAACAAAAGTATTGACCAGTTTTTAGGTATACCTTTCGCCGAACCTCCCGTGGGAGGGCTCAGGTTTAGAAAGCCTCAACCAATCAACACTCCATTTAAGGTAAAGTAAAATACAATTAATAATACAAATTATAACCCTACACCTTTTGTCTACATTTAGGAAGTAATCGATGCAACAAAACCTAAAAACAGTTGTTTCCAGAATAGCGTGACAGCCCTTCCCGTCATTCAGAGCGAAGACTGTTTAGTACTAAGCATATGGAGTCCGAGTAAAGGGAACGGTAGAAAAACGGCCTCAAAACCTGGTCTCAAACCTGTCATGTTTTGGATACATGGAGGGAGTCTGAGAATAGGCTCCATATTCACGCCGACTGGGGACGGGAGCGTACTGTCCACTCAGGATATGGTGGTCGTGTTCACCAACTATAGAGTGGGACCATTCGGGTGGCTATACGGCGGAACTGAGAATGAGCCTGGTAACTTGGGACTTTATGATCAATTGCTGGCTTTGAAATGGGTATTGAATTGAAATCATGAATAAAATAAGTGTTTAAATAATTTGTTTTATCATTAGGTGAGAGAAAACATTGAAAAGTTTGGTGGCGATCCCAATCAGATGACAATTTTTGGTGAGAGCGCCGGTAGTTGGTCCGTATCGGCCCATGTTTTGTCTCCCTTATCAAGGGGTTTATTCAAGAGGGCTATACTAGAGAGCGGCACCTTATTAGGCAATAAAGACGTCAGGGGTTTGACCACAGAGTCGGCACTCATTCAGTCCAAACAAATGGCCAAATCATTCAACTGTTCCGATGATCACCAATGGTTGCAGTGCCTGAGAGATGTTGATCCCAAGGAGTTGACAGTATATATGAACTTACAGCCCTACCCTCTACACGACTCTCAATTTTTGCCGATCAGTGCACAGCAAGCATTCAAAACACATGATTATAGCACAGGTATTGTCATGATTACTGATATATTTGTATGAACTGAGAGTGAGTTAATTGACCTTACTTACCCTGATCACTTTATGAAAATTTGCAATTTCTGTGTAAAACTTCTGACAAAAAGACATCGATATACTGATGGGTATAGTGCGGGACGAGGGCTCACTTCTGGCGCATTTATTTTACCCCAAAAGTGATTCATTGAATTCATCGCAAGAATTTGAGGCTTTGGTCAAAACAGTGGCCATCCCTCAGTTGGACGCGAAGGCAATCACAGAGTTTTATCTGAAAGGAGTCGACACCAGTAGTGCCGACGCTCTTAAGAAGGCTTTCTGGAGGTTTTACGGCGACGTCCGGATGATATGTCCCACATATCTGTTCGCCAAACAATTTGCAAAGTCTTCGCCAAAAAGTAATGTCTTTTTCTACGACTGGACGTACGGATCAAATATATTGGGACCACTAATTGGCTGCACTAAAGACATGGGCGTATGTCATGGCGGGGAAGTGGAGTATGTGTTCGGATTGCCTATACTTATGCATACAAATGACAGTGAATTCAGTGAAAATGTGATCAAAATGTGGACTAATTTTGCTAAAAAGGGGTAAATATAAGGAAATTCCATAAAAATAAAATTTAAAAACTTATATAAAAATAATAATTAATACCAAATAGTAATCCAATGGATAACAACAAATGGCCCCGACTTATAGAGACCGGTAGGCTAAGGTCGAGGTCGGTGCCCAAAATCAAAGAGATCAACCCGTCAGCACCCGACCATATAATGGAGAACCCATTTGCAGAGACTTGCGATGGCTTTTGGAGTAATTATTTCACATCCGATCAAAATAGGAGAGGAATTCAGTGGTTAAATGACGGAAAAAATCATACCATTCCTCTCAGTATGATTAACCGGTTAATGGGCTGATCACTGGAAATAAATAGATGAAAAAATTACATTTTTAAAGTGTCACTACTTTCTTAAATGACTAGTATTAATGTGTTCACATTTTATAAGAATTAATGCTATTTGACTTTTAGTAATTAATGATTATTATCGATATTTATTATCAAACAATAAATTTAACATAGGGTAACTTCATTTAACAACTCTCGCCTAAAGTTTGCTATAATTAATTGACATTTAATACCACTTGAATGCAAAACATTAAATGGCAGATTTGTATGGATACAAATTGTGTAATTAATTGTCTACTGTAATAAAATAACAATTTACTGGATATGAAAACGAAATTCTTTGGATTCATTATTTTATGTGTCATTTGTTTCCATAATGTCATTGAATGCGGCCTTTTCTCAAAGTCCAATCAAATTGACGTCAAAACCACATCGGGTGAGGTGAGGGGTCAGATCATCAAGGTATGGGACGATGAGGTCAACGAATTCT